CCTTTCGTCTTTTAATGGTTTGGCCCCCCCGGACCGAGCCCCCCCACAGATAGGCTCATCTGGACAGCCGGAATGTGGGGCTAGAGCAGCCGACGGCGGGTGGGGAGCTGCTTTAGCTTCCACAGGTTAACCGAAACCGGTAAACATCACCCAGTAAGGGTAATGCTTATAGTTGATCTTTCCCATCTTTAGTCTTGAACCTGCAAACTATGCTGTTGCTCTTTTGGATGGGGAGTGGTTTAACATTGATATTCCTACTTGCAAAAGTCTGCCTTGAAGGCATACCCAACTTGTTTGGTGTCCACATTCACAACTTTTAAGACAGACCACTGAAGGCAGATTAAATAAGTATATGCAAGATAGCTGTATTTGTAGAACTGAAAAATAACTGGCTATGAGGGGTACTTCTTACTACAGTAAACTTCCGATAGTCCGGCATATCTGATAATCCGGCACCCCCTGGGTCCCAAAGGTGCCGGATTATCGGAAGTTTACTGTAGTAAGAAGTAATGGATTTTGTGAGTTATTTTTCAGTTCTACAAATACAGCTATCTTGCATATACTTATTTAATCTGCCTTCAGTGGTCTGTCTTAAAAGTTGTGAATGTGGACACCAAACAAGTTGGGTATGCCTTCAAGGCAGACTTTTGCAAGTAGGAATATCAATGTTAAACCACTCCCCATCCAAAAGAGCAACAGCATAGTTTGCAGGTTCAAGACTAAAGATGGGAAAGATCAACTATAAGCATTACCCTTACTGGGTGATGTTTACCGGTTTCGGTTAACCTGTGGAAGCTAAAGCAGCTCCCCCCCCGCCGTCGGCTGCTCTAGCCCCACATTCCGGCTGTCCAGAGCAGCCTATCTGTGGAGGGCCTCGGTCAGGGGTGGCCAACCCATTAAACGAAGAAAGCCGAAACAGCAGCGGAAAAAACGTGACGAGCTGTACCAGAATTGTTGGGAGTAGGGGGGAAGGAAGAGCTCCACACCAGCCAGAATTGTTGAGCCGGGGAGAGAGGGGGTAAAAGACGCTGCCCCTTTAAAAAACCACAGATTAGGCTTTTTGGCCACATTAGGCTCCCACCGGCTGATGCCATCATGCCACTCTGGATGACTCCCCTGCACCCAGTGAGCACAGGGAGCTGAGGGCTGTTTGTAGGGGCACATGGGGAGCTTCGCAAGCCATATGCGAGGCTTCGCAAGCTGCACTTTCAGGGGTGAAAAGCCGCAGGTTGGTCACCCCTGGCTTAGGTGCATCGCAGGCAGGAGCTGCTCCGGCTGGGCTGCAGCACCCCTCCCTACCAGCGCCCTCTTTAATAAGTTAACTGATTAAACATCATGTTTAACTGGTTAACCAATTAAATGGGATTTTACATCTCTGCACAAGACAAGATTCTACACTTGTGTTAATTTGCAGGTCAAATGAGTTGCAGTTACTATTTATACATGTAAGGAAGGTTGATTTAGTGAACAGTTGACTATGACCACAGGAACCTATATTCAGATGCAACATTCTGATTAATTTTTTAGGCCTAGGGGTTTAATGCCTTTTCATGCTACTGACCACTCTTTAGAGAGATTGCCTCAGACCACCTTCTCTCACATTCATAACTGCATTACTGCCTTCCCTCCCAATGGCAACTGGATAATGTATTTGTGGCAACTACATTAATTACTCACATGGTAAAACATTTAAGCTATTTGAAAGCTTGTTTTCATACTACCAATTCACACTGGCAAAAAAACAAAAACAACCCCCCCCCCCAAAAAATAGCACCATGTGAATAACCAGCTCAATCAATAAGATTTGTGTAATTGCATCCAGAAACTTAATTTGGAATTAGTCTACATACCTACTGAAAGGAAGAGAGAGAGGAGGACTTCAGAGCTCTGGTGAGATGAATGCCATTTTGTAAACTAGATTTTTGGGGACTATATTTAGTTACAGGCAGTCCCCGGGTTACGTACAAGATAAGGACTGTAGGTTTGTTCTTAAGTTGAATTTGTATGCAAGTTGGAACTGGTACATATTGTAGGGGAAACTCTAGCCAAACATTTCTCCAGAGCTCAGTTTTATTCTCCCACAACTCACTTCCCTCAGTCCTTTATTCTCAAGCTGAAGTGTCTGCTGAGAAAAGCCGCTCCGCGTCTCCCTGGTCTGCTGGAGGGGAAGCAGCTAGTGTGGAGTTGCCTCACCCCGTTTGTAAGTAGGGATCCGATGTAAGTCGGATCCATGTAACCCGGGGACTGCCTGTATTACCTGATTAGTGGCTATTTAGTTCTACAGTAAGTTATAATCCTCACTAATTAAGCTGGTGGGAGAATAACAAAGTCCAGAACTGTATCTGGTTGGTTTCCACTAAATTAAAAGAGTCTAAATCCAGATGGTCTGAAATAGCAGCAGTAGGCGTGCATTTCTTAAATGGGGAGAAAATAATATCTCTGAAGATTAACTTCTGAACAATGAATTGCCAGTATTACTAGCCATTTAACTACTAGTCACATCATAAATAACTAATTATTGTTCTTGATTAATTTAGCAGAAAACAGAGTCATCACATCTGGACATTTCATTAATTTGAAAAAAATATTGTATACAAATAAGGATGCAGGATTTAAATATGCAAATATTGCAGTTTATTGACTGTTCTTTCAATTACCAGTTATTTGAATAAAGATTTGTGATAGTCCTTAAAACTTTTATCCAAAGTAATTCAGTTGCAAGGTTCTATAAATTAAATGACTGATTTTTAAGGGTTTCTACAAAACCTTGTTTCAACACAAGCAAGTCTAGCTCATTTTTAAAAGGTAACAAATATGTTTTTGATCCTGCAATAAGCTATAAATTGCAGAAAATTTCTGCATGCTCCCCCCCCCAAAAAATCACTTCTCATCTTGTCTACACAGCAACATTATTTTGAAATAATGTCAAAATACTGTCAAGCTGGAGGACTTCTTACTCCGATTCCTGTAACCCTCATTGTACAAGGAGTAAGGGAAGTCAAAGGAAGAGTGCTCTATTTCAGAATAAGGATGCAACTGACATAGCTCAATTTGCATAGCTTATTTTGAGTTAAACCCTGCTGTGTAGGCGCACCTTCTATGTGGGTAAAGATATTACACCTTCAAAGTTGATTAGAGGATTAAGATCATTCTTTTCACGGCCCTCCTTCTGCCTTGCAAGAATACGTGGCATCAAACGTATAATAAAAATAGTCACAAAACTTTCAAACTTGATGTTGATATGGATTTGTATGAAAATATAGATATTGTTTTTCTAATCAGACTTTTACACAGGATTTACCTGTATCAAAGCATTTAATGGAATAATCTGCCAAAGCCACAAGGTATTCAGTCTTCCTGCGGAGATTAAATGCCAAAGCAGTGCAAGCCTGCATTGTTCGCTGAACAAGAATGAATCTATTTAAAGAAAAAAAAACACAAGTCCAATAGTGTCAGAAACACTTCAGTTCACTGGACATTGAACTGAATATGCTACTCAGTTTGAACATACTTTACCCTGCGAAAGAAAGTTTCATGAAAACTTCTCCTCCAATTAGTTCTATCAAAACAAACCCCATTTAACACACAGAAATAAGTATCTTAAGTGGGAGGAGTGTTCTAAAAAGTTGATTTATGCTTATTAAGAAACCTAAAAACAAAAATATAGGTAGGGTCTTACCAAATTCACAGTCCATTTTGGCCAATTTCACGGTCATCAGATTTAAAAAATCGTAAATTTCATTATTCCAGCTATTAAAATCTGAAATGTCATTGAGTTGTAATTGTAGGGATACTGACCCAAAAAGCAGTTGGAAGGGGTCACAAGGTTATTATAGGCAGGGTTGTGGTACTACTACCCTGGCTTCTACAGTGCTGCCTTCAAAGCTGATCAGCTGGAGATCAGTGGCTGTGGGTTGGGAGCTCAACTATGAAGGCAGAGCAGCTGCCAGTAGCAGTGCGGAAAGATGGCATGGTACCTAGTTGGGCCTTCAGTCAGAAGCCACCACTCGCCAGCCATCCTGATCTTAAAGTATAAGCACAGATATTAGGGTGGCATGCTATGGTATTACCACACTTAATTCTGTGCTGCTGCTGGCAGGATACTGCCTTCAGACTAGCGATGTAAGTGACTAGTCAACTATCCGATAAACATAAGCTTATCGGCTAGTCAAGTAGTCACTCAAGTAGTTGCTTCACCTCCCCCCACCCTTGCTGCAGAAATTCCATCGACTACTCAGTTGATTAATCGAAATTTAACTTCCCTACTAAAGAGCTGGGCATACAGCCAGCAGCTGTTGTTCTCCAGCTCCAAAGGCAGCATAAAAGTGAGGGTGGAAATATTATGAACCTTCTAAAATAGCTTTGGGAATCCCCTGCAAAACCTTTGTGTCAGGTCCTCCAATTTGAGAAATACTGGTCTCCCCTGTGAAATCTTCATAATGTAGAGTAAAAGCACACACAAACACCAGATTTCACAGGAGGAGACCAGATTTCACAGTCCACTACATCTGTGGAAAACATGTGAATTTGGCAGGGCCATAAATATAGATTATGAAGAACAATAACTGAGAGCCGCAAGCAAGAGTAATGTTTACCTGTTTCCAGTCAAGTCAAAAACATATATATTTCCTTGGTGGTCTCCAGCAAGTAAAGAATCTCCAGAATTGTCAAAGGCCACATTCAGAAAACGTATTGTCTTTGAATGGTATCCTGTGGCACTGTGAATAATGTTTACTATGACACTATGAGGAAAGCAAAGAAATCACTGTCTTTAGCATAATTTTCTCTATGGTCATTAAGATATATCCAATATAAAAAACAATTTTAAGCTATATTTTCTGCAACTCTGATTAAACTTTTGAGGAAGACCACACACTTATAAAAGTGTATTACACTAAAGATGATTTGCTATCTAACAAGCAATAAACAAACCTTCTGTAAAGAAATCAAATGAAAAACTGAAAAGTAGCTGATTCATGAGAAAAATTAATATAGGCAGGTAGAGTCAGTAATTATATGATATTAGGGGAAGAAGGGAAATCACTGAAACAACTTTTAGCTGTCTTCTTAAAAATAAGGGGCAGGCCAATCTCTGTCATGTCGCACTAAAATGGGCTCTCCCATTTCTGTTTTTCACAGGTATCTATCCTTCGGGTTTGTATATTAGCTGGGGATAGGTGAAATAGCAGCAGCCAAGGAGATGATGGTAGTCTAAAATGCAGCAGTTAACACAAAAAACCTGGGGTAGAAGAATGAAGAGCATATGGATTTTCCCCCCCTTTCAAAAATCAGGGACAAATTAAAACTGTGGCCTGGAAGGAAATCCCTTTAGAGGAGCACTCTGATGGTCAATCAAGTGTGAAGGGGAGGCAGAGTCTGTGTGATTATACCCCACAGAATATCTCTCAAGAGGGATTCACCCTCTACAGTTTGCAGTGGAATCAATACTAGAAGGAGAGGCCCAGACCCAGTTTCCTTTTTCCCCAAAGAGAAGGCGGCCTTCAAGAGGGAAAAAGAGATGGGTTAGTTCATAAGAAGAGCTGAGGACTGGCTTTCCTGTAACCTGCCTGCTAAGCTTACACTTTCTCTATGATTTTTGGAAAAGATTATTTAATGGTAGCTGGTAATATTTTCATCATGGGAGAATATTAGTAATAACTTTAAAAGGCATAATGGAAAATATGAAAAATTAAAAGCCAACTTTTCCCAGCATTGGTTGTGTCAATCTGTTATTTACAGATTCATTCTTCAACTCATCTCCCCACCCAAATTCTTTCCTGAAAATAAAGTAACATTGTAAATGGAATAAAAGGGAAACTGATAATAAAGTCAACCTATTGAGCCACAATCAGAACCTCCAAACGTATTAAAAGTTTTCATCTTTTGATATAATGTACATGCGAGTTATACCAGTTCATCTTTTGCACTTGTTCTCTATCATCACATGCCTGTATTTCTAAAAAATTGTCTTGGGAACTTTCCAAGCAATTTTGTCTAATGCAATATTTAAAAATGAGATTATGCATATATTTGCTATTCATGATGATGTCTCAAAATAATTTACAAATGAATTTACTTAAATACTATTAGAATTGTTAGTTGGTCATTTTTAAACATTAAACCTGTGTCATCCTGTGAAAGGTGAATCTCTGAGAGATGCCCTTTGGGGATATAAATACACAGGCCCTGTTTCTCCTTGGTAGCAGATCAGAGGGCACACAGGCAGGGATTTCTCCCCAAACCACAGCCGTAAACAGTCTCGATCTTTAGAGGTCTGTGCAGGTAAAAATATGTGGCTATGCATCTTGTAGACTCATCATGCAATCCACAATCTGGATTTACTTGCATCTACACAGCAAACCACCTGGAGGGGAGAGAGCAGAAGTGAGTGAAGAGGGCGCAGGGAAGAGGCAGGCAGAATGAGAGCAGGGATCGGGAGTGAAGAGTAGCAGGGACCTGGGGCTCTGCAAATCAATGCTCACCAGGTGGTGGGGTGGGAGAGGAGATCTGGGAAGGGCCAGCACTCTGTCCCTCCTACAGAGAGATTTAAGAGATCTTGTTGCATCCTTTCCCTGGTGGTAATGCAAGGGCCTGCCCTGGCACAGGCCCCCCTCTCCTCTGCCTGGCAGTTCATTGGAGGGAGGAGGTAGAAGAGCCCTGCACAAATGTCCACTCCAGCATCCAAGGTTATGAAACACATATCTGTGGATAAGTAGGGCTCTATTGATCTTGAGGGTTCAAGGTCTTTTCTTACAGACTCTGCCAATGGGTCTTATTTTTTTCCTAATCATTCACATTTCATAGGGTCTTGTGCTTTTCTTCATAATCTCAAATCCATAGTTTGCAAGATCATAGAACATCTTCTGTTCAAGTTCCTGAGAGCTCAGGCCATACCCCTTAATTTTAGTTATTATACACTTGTTGTTGGGTTTGTGTGATGTTACGATTATGCTGTAGCGTATATATGTTAGAGTTAATTTGTAAGATTCTAAGGCTACATCTACACTGCAGGCTTCTTGCGCAAGAACAGTAATTCTTGCGCAAAAACTTGCAGAGTGTCTACACTGCACGCGCGTTCTTGTGCAATTAAATTTACAGTAAGGCATTGGAACACAGGGCTTCTTGTGCAAGAGTTATTCCTCCCCCCACGAGCTCTTTCACAAGAAGACAGTGTGGATGAGCAACAGGGGTTTCTTGTGCAAGAAACCCCTATGACTAAAATGGCCATCAGAGCTCTCTAGCACAAGAAAGCATCTACACCGCCATGGATGCTCTTGTGCAAAAGCACATCTCTTGTGCAAAAGCGCATGGCAGTGTGGACGCACTCAAGAACTCTTGCGCATAACAGTTCCTGTGCAAGAAGCCTGCAGTGTAGACATAGCCCTCGAGTATAATGGTAGTTCCTCTAAACACTAAACTATGTATTAGACATGAATAAGACAAGCTGAATTGCAAGAACCTATAGGTTGACATCTACAGGATTTCAGCTTAACTACTGTAGGTCTTGGAGACAAGAAATGATAACATAAGTGACCACAAAATAACCTGATGCCCTAAGATTATGAGAGATGTACCGAGTGATATTGCACAAAAATTACCCAGACGGTTAATACTAGATTATAAAATACTGCAAAAGCACATCTGTCTCAAACATGTCTCTCAATCATAGGATACAGGTTGTACTTCAATGCTAATAAAGGGAACTTCCTCAGCCTACAGAAAATTGGGTTCTTTTAAGTTTCCAGGGGACACAGACCAATAAGAGAAAAGAGGGTGGACATTTTTATGGACACACACAGAATGTATCTATAGACAGAATCACATTATAAGAAGGGGATACCCAGAATGGGAAACTGAGTTCCCTTTAGAAAACTCCAGCAGGAACCATCCCTCTACTGATGACCAAACCACAAGAGAGACATCAAGCGCTAATATTATTATCAGGATATGAGTGTAACTGTTTTTCTAACTTGCGCATAGGCCTGCATAGACTTTCTTTGTGTGTTCCTAGAGACTCTAAATTTGAAGTAACAGAGGTGACTCACACCAGCTGTAGCTGCCAGAGCCAAATCCATGGTCATATCACACCATATTACAAGATATACTTTAAATAAAATAAAAGGCCACAAGGGCATGGTGTGATATGCACGAGGATTAAACAAACAGTATCCTTATATAGTATTTGATTTTGAGAAATCACTAGTTGTGAAGAATATGTATTATTCAATCAACACTATGCATGTGCATGACACTTCTCTGTCAAAAGAGACCACAGACCAGGAGCTAGATCTTGGAAATGGCGCTGCACAGATGGAGGGCTACCCTTGTGCAAGTATTCACAGGACCTCATGTTAAGTTTACATACATCACAATAAGAGACAACACTGGACAATGGGATAGGAGTAGGAAGAAAGACAAATAAGACCACAGAGAAGAAACCATAATTAGGCACATATGTTGGATATTGTTATTTATTGTTTGTATGAGATCTTACTTTGTTTTGTAACAAACATCTTTGTAGGTTGGGGTTTTGGAAATATGTATGCTTGGAAATTATAAGCAAATACTATTGTTCCCTTGCTGTTCAACTTAAGATGAATATGGCTTAAAACAGAGATCCTAACTTTCCTCCCCAAAACTTTCCCCACTACCTCTTTTCTTGATCATTATGGATAATACCACCACCCTGCATGTCACTCAGGACTGTAACCTGCATGTCATTTTCCAGTGAGAACTCTCTTGTTCTCAAGCATAACATCTCTATTAATCAACACAGCTAAAACTCTGGCCCAGGCTCTCATTACACATCTTGAATACTGCGATATCTTCTCTAACCCTGACAAATGCAATCTTGCCCCACTCACAGAGCTACTGCTAAGATTATTTTCCTAGCCCATTACTTTGTTGATCACATCATCACTCTTCTCCTTGAGTCCTTCCATTAACTCCTCCTTCTCTATTGCATGAAACGTAAGGATTGAATTCAATCTCTACTCTCTCTAACACTATCAAGCTGTTGATACTCATTTCTGATCAACCCAAGGTGCCAGCCTCCACTGCATAGGCTACAGTTTCAGGCCAGCACCTTTGCACTTTCTTTCTTGCTTTCCCCCCATAGGAGGAGATGGCATTCTTGTAAACATCTGCAGCTCTAGCTCATTATCTACCTTCAAATCCCTTATCACACATCTTGGCCTGGATTCCTACAAAATACTTAGCATCAGTTAGGCTAGTGGGTGCATCGAGACCAAAACCTATCATGCTGACCCCTACTGCCTCATTGTATGTCAGCAGGCTCCCTCCTAAGCACAAAGGAACAGACATGCTGCCTGGAACCTCTCCATCTAGTCCAGTATCCGGTCTTCCCCCAGAGGCCAATGCCAGGTGCCGCAGAGGGAACAAACAAAGCGGGTGATCGGGAAGCGAGCCCTCCCCTCTTGCCCATCCCAGCTTCTGACGGAGAGCATGGATTTATAGCTAGTCCTTGACCTTGTGTTGAGACTAGAGACTGCCTGGGGCCCAGCCTGGCTTGTTTGTGCAGCGGCTCACGCAGCGGGACCCCGGCGCGAGGTGCTGGCTCAGTAAGCACCGTGCGCCAGCCCTCTGGCTTGGGACGAAGCCTTTTGATGCGTCTCTCTTTCATGAGGGGCCAGCCCACACAGGGGCCTCCTCACCGGCCTCGCGCAGCCAGCGGCAGGCACAGGCCTACACCCGAGCAGGCGCGATCGGCTCAACCGGGGGCGGCAGGGAGGGGGTCTCCCCTTGCCCCTCCCCCGCCGCCAGCTGCCCCCATTACCCCTGCTGCGCGGCCGGGGCGGGCTTGCGGTGCCAGATCTTGCCCTGCTCCCTGTTGCCCAGGTCCGAGCTTTGCATCCTCACGCGGCGGGGCGGGAGGCGCTTCCCTCCTCCGCAGGTGTACCGGGAGCGGAGGCGGCTGCGCGCTAACCGTCGTTTCTCCCGCCCGTCGCGCCGCAGGAAGAGAGGAGACTACGAGGGGTGTCCTCACCATGGTACAATCCATTGGCCCTTATGAATGCTGCACGCTGACGCGTGACCGTTAGCAGCACCTCCCCGCGGCGTAATGGAACAGGCCACGCATTCCGGAACCGCTGGCGCCTGCTGGGAACTGTAGTTCTCTTTGTGGGGTGGGCGAGCCCGAGGGCATTTGAGAGGCGAAAGGAAAACGGCTTTTCAGCCTGAGCTGAGTGGGCGGGGCTTGGCAGGAGCAAGAGGACAGGAGGGAGGATGTAAGGGGAGCGTGAGCAGGCCTGGAGGCTGGGGAATAGCTTCCCTTAGGGGACACTCCCTGAGTTTTCTTTCTTCCCCACAAAACATAATTCAGTACAGGCGTCCACATATGTTGAATAATAAAGCAGAAATGGTCTGCAAAGACCAGATCTCATTTTCCACCACTTGCCTATTATCTCCCTAATTTTTCCTGAGTCAAGTAATACCCTACAATAGATGACTTTGCAAGACTGGGGCCTTGGGTATATATACAATGTGGGAATTATAGTAAGTGTGGTTCATTTAACTACATCATGTTCCGAAAGGAAATGAAAAAAATCGTCCTACTCAGTTTCACACATTTTCAATATGCTTTTCAGTAATATTCAGGTAGCAAAATATTCCTTGCATTCTCCATTCAGATCTTTTGATCTCATTATTCTTTACAAACATTCACAGAATCCCTTTGAACAAAAAACAGGACTATGTAGCACTTTAAAGACTAACAAGATGGTTTATTAGGTGATGAGCTTTCGTGGGCCAGACCCACTCCCTCAGATCAAATAGCGGAAGAAAATTGTCACAACCATATATACCAAAGGATACAATTAAAAAAAAGAACACATGTGAAAAGGACAAATCAAATTTCAGAACAGAAGGGGGATGTGGGGGAGGTAAATGTCTGTGAGCTAATGATATTAGAGGTGATAATTGGGGAAGCTATCTTTGTAATGGGTAAGATAATGTCTTTGTTTAAACCTAAGCATAAAGTGTCGAATTTAAGCATGAATGACAGTTCAGAGGATTCTCTTTGAAGTGTGTGTTCTGAAAAGGTCTTTGAAGCAGAATGCAGGTAATCAAGTCGTTGAGACAATATCCTTTCTGGTTGAAATGGCAAGAAACTGATTTCTCTTTGTGATCCTGTTTAATATCTGTTTTGTGGGCATTGATCCTTTGGCGAAGTGTCTGAGACGTCTGTCCAATGTACATAGCAGACGGACACTTTCGGCACATGATAGCGTATTTCTGGATGCACAGGAATATGCGTTCTTGATCTTATAACTCACTGGGTTAGGTCCAATAATGGTATCAGCAGAGTGAATATGTGGACAAAGCTGGCAACAGGGTTTGTTGCAAGGGACGGTACCAGGGTTGGTATTAGTGTGGAATGTCCTGTGGCTGTTGGTAAGAATCATCTTGAGGTTAGGTGGTTGTCTATAGGAGACTATGGGTCTGTCTCCCAGAGTCTCTCGGAGTTTAGTATCCTGTTCCGGTATAGGCTGTAGTTTATTGATAATGTGTTGGACAGGTTTAAGATGGGGGCTGTAGGTGATGACAAGTGGAGTTCTATAGTTGGTTTTCTTGGGTCTGTCTTGAAGTAGACGGTTTCTAGGTATTTGTCTGGCTCTTTCAATTTGCTTCAATTTCAATTTATTTCTCTGGGTGGGTAGTTGAGGTTTATAAATGCTTGGTAGAGATCCTGAAGTTTCTGGTCTCTGTCAGTGGGATTAGAGCAGATGCGGTTGTATCAAAGATGATGGATCGTATGGTGTGTTCTGGATGGGAGCTGGAAGCATGTAGGTAACTGTATGAGTCAGTGGGTTTTCTGTAGAGAGAGGTATCTAATTTTCCATTGCTGATTTGTACTGTGGTGTCCAGGAAATGGATCTCTCGTGTAGAATGGTCCAGGCTGAGATTGATGGTGGGGTGTAGGTTGTTAAAATCTCTGTGGAATGTCTCCAGTGTTTCTTGGCCATAAAGGTGTCATCGATGTAGCGTAAGTAGAGAAGGGGTGAAAGGCAGTCATGTAGCACTTCAAAGACTAACAAGATGGTTTATTAGGTGATGAGCTTTCGCAGGGCAGACCCACTTTGTCAGATCATATCTTCTGGATCTGTGCAAGTTTTTTCATATGGTTGATGGATTTCAATTCCATACAGTTAAAGGTAGTGCTTTGCATGATGAAAAGTAACTGAGAGGTAGCTGTGTTAGTCTGATCTTGGTAAAACAAAAAAAAGCAGACCCACTTCTTCAGCCCCACAAAAGCTCATCACATAATAAACCCTCTTGTTAGTCTTTAAAGTGCTACATGACTGCTTTTTTTATAGACGTGCAGAGCACAGAACTTCATTTGGAGTTAATGGGGCACCTGGCACTGGTTAATTGTAAGGGTTAACTTTTAAAACAGAATTTAAAATCCCTTTAAAACAGGAGTTTACATCCTAAGGCTCATAACGATCTTTTTAGCCACTGTTGTCAGTGGCAAAGAACTCCACGCTGCTCCCTGCGGAATAGCTCTCTTAACTAATCCATATTCTTTTGGAGCGGTTTCTGCTGCAATGCAGACATGAAAGCATTTGCATCAGTGGTGGCAACTGGGGGCTGTGGAGCTAGGAGTCCGGTTGGAAGGATGCTGCGGGGATGGGCTCTGTTGGGAGAGGACCACAGCTCTGGGGAAAGGAATAATAACGGGGAGGGGAGGGATATCCCGTGAGTCTGCAGTGGGCAGCCAGGGGGCAACAAGCAGCGCACGGTGTCTGTGGTGCTGTCCCCTTAAGAGGCGGGACTTCCGCCACTGTCACGGAGGTGTCATGCGAGGGGTGGGTGGGCACGAGAACCGGAAGTAGCTGTTGGTGGCCGAATTCGCAGGAGCCACGTCTGGACTCGGGCTACGCGTGGATTTGGCGCCGCCCGCATCACGCGCCCTGTTGTCCGGCGGCCGCGGCAGCAGGAGGCGGACGCCGGCCTCGGCGCGATCTGGACCCCCGCCCTCGCGGTGGCCGGAGGACAGTGAGGTTCCGGCGGCGGCCGAGCTCGGAG